TCAACAACTATTGATGGCAGGAATCTGGACTTGGATAAAATGGGCACATTCCTTCAACATAGTTTCTAAAAACCTTTTGGGTATAGATCTCAGCATTATCATGTTCTAAAAAGTATAAAGGAAATTTTGTAAGATGAATTTGACTATTTTTTAATTTCATTACATGATAACATCACTAAATAACTGGAAGGCTGGGTAATATTCATTTTATATTGTTCTTTGGGGGGACCTCTAGCATGGTTAGGCTGTATTTTAAAACAGGGCTAAGGATTCAGACCACAAGGCCCATCTGGAGCTCAATTTCACCTTCAAGGTACAAATTCTACCACCAATGCACTCTATCTTAGTCTCACCTTGCAAATATCAAACCTGGTGGACACTTTCACTATCTCCAGTTCAAAAGAAGCCAACTAGCTAGCTATGCACATAAATCTCAAACAAGAGGTATAACGATGAGACCAACACCTGTGAGATAAATATGCACTTATTTGTTCATAAATGTTAATGACTTACAGAAAAGAAACTCCTCTTTGGAATTTCTTAGAGTTGAAAACTTAACGGTAACTCAGAGACAAAGAAGACATTACTAGCAGATCAATTCCTAACCATTCCCTTGGAGGACTGTGTATCAAAACGGCACTACTGGAAAAGGTAGTGACATACCTTTTATATGCAGTGCTGCAAGTGCTATGCATAAAATAAGAAGCGATGTGTAGGCAGTAGCAATTGAATTGTTTATGCACTCAAACAGTTGCCTTGAAGTAGAATAAAACTGAGCATGAAATGAAAGGTTCATGCAGGTCTATGAGCGAAACAAAAACAGAAACCAGCCGCATCCCTCTACCCTGCCCGCCCGGCCGCCCTGCCAGCCCCCCGCAAGTTCTTCCTGTGGGCTTAGGACCCTTCTGTTTTGGAAGACCTACAGGCTTTATACATTCACCTGGTGGCTCATGAAGACCAGAAACACTGTCATAGAAAGAAGCTCTCTGAATATTCTGAATCTCTAAAGCAGAGAAACAGCAAAAACAGGACAGAAGAGCAAATACACAAACACTTCAGTTAGTGTGAAAGACATTCGACATCACAAGTAAACTTTGAAATCGGGTACGAGAGTCGCTAGTCCCGGGAAGATCCCATGCAAACATTACTCATTAGAGAATCTGCACATTTGGACAAAGTTCTTTATAAAAATAGACTTAATCTGAATGAAAATGCCTATTCCCCACTCCAGGTGTGAGCATTTTATCACACAGTGTTAAATGACCACCCCGCGTAAATGCAGGATGAAATGTTAAGAGTAATAAGGTACTACTCGAGTTGTCCTTCATAAAATCATCTTGCAATTAGCTCATTAGGACAAGGGGCAGTAAGTTACATTCTGATAAGTGTACGCATTAGTAACTTTTACTGTCAAAAATTTACACTGCTGTGCAACTTTACTTCCAATACAGATTCTGGAAATATAATTTACTCCAAATACACATTACGAATACATAGGTAATTACCATTAAGGAAAACAAAATTCAAGTTCTGCTTAGCAAAATGTTAAACATAACTTCAAATCATAAGTAAGATGACACTTGATACCCCGAGGCACATTTACATAAGAAATGCAATCTTTGGTTTTTTTGGTCTATAAGCCCCCGAAATGTGTTGAGAAGTCCCGTGCAACTGGGAGAGAGATCCCCAAACATCTCTTAGCAGAAAGTAGGGCACTATGAGTCTCTAGGGCAGGGCTGCCACCAAAAATCTTATTTCTCCGGGTTTGGCCTTGAGAAAAATCTTTAACACTCTAACACAAAGTCTATTTTAATACATAGTGTTTTTCTAGTCAAGATATTGCACCTTCATAGGAAACTATTCATACAACACATATTCATACATTTGTGGTCCACTTATTATTTTCTGCTTTTGCCTTTATGTGGCTGTAACAATAGAAAAAATAGAAAAATACATGTTTTTCCAGGGTTCTTTTCTTTTCCTGGAGATAAAGCTACCCTTATCCCAAGAGATCTCTACACCCAGAGTGAGCAGCGACGAATTCTCCACCTTCGCACACCCTCTTCCCACTCCTGGGCCTGCCCTGACTTTCTGGATGAAACTCAGTCCTGCTGCTCCCCCTGCCGCTCCCTTGACAGTGGGCGACCTCTGAGATCCTGGCTCTCAGATCACACTGAATAACTGCCCACTACGCTGATGGACGACAGGCCTTCCTACAGCAGCATCATGAGGAGAGCAGACTCGGGGAATATTCCAGAGCGGATGCCAGCACATCCGAGTCAGATCCGGGGCCGGTGAGACTGCCAGCAGCCCACTCTGACAAAAGGGACCACGTGTGCACCCAAGCGCCTATCTGCAGAAAGGCAAGGGTCACAGCAGGGCTGTGCGGGCTGTGGGTTCGAGCTGTGGACTAAATCCAGACGCACAGGCCTCGGGCCAGGACTGAAGGAGCTCAGCAAGGCTGCAAGCGTTTTCTCTCAGCGTTTCTGGAACCGAGTAAGTTCTTCGTGGCTATGGAAAGCACAAAAAGCCAGGGAGCCCTGGCCGCTGTTGCTCAGTGGTTAGAGCACCAGCCTGTGAACTATGGGCTGCGGGTTCCATCCCCTGGTCAGGTCAGGTCAGGGGCATGTACCTTGGTTGCAGGTTCAATCCCCAGCCCTGGTTGGGGCGTGTACGGAAGGCAACCAATCACTGTCTCTCTCTCTCTCCCCCTTCTACTCTCTCTAAAAAAATAAAAAACAATGGAAAAAATAGCCATGGGTGAGGATTAAAAAAAAAAAAAAAAAAAAAGGCAGGGAGCACGCTCCAGACACGGCCCTGCCCACAAGGCACATCACCTGTGACATGGATCACTGAGCCCCCACTTCCACCCTTGCCGGACAAACTTTATTTTCTTGCAACTTTTGACCCACTGCTGCCAGAGGCTCTCCCACATCTGGGAGGCGAGACAAGGCGTTACAGAAGGAAGTGGGAGGAGGAAGCCAAGGAAGCTGGGAGCCAAGACAGGCTGGCTCTGTCCCAGGCTGCATCTGCATATCCTGCGTCTCCCATTGGATTACCAGCTCCTGGGGCCTGGCCGTGTCTTTCCTCATTCCCCCGAGACTCTCCCAGGTGATAACCATGGTGCACACAGTTACACATGCGCGTTTGTTATATGAATGGTCAGGTGCTCACTAGGTGTTCCCCACAATGTCATTTTCGGTTAAGAAACTACAAAGTAAGAATCAAAGTGGTTCACAATCTCAGAACCAGTACGTAACTCAGGACCCACTTTCTTTACTACTGTCATTAATTCCCAAATACCTGCTTCTCTTCTCCTTCAACATGAAGAGAAATCTGATTTTGAGGCTTCAGGCAAGTAAAAATGCCAGTTTCCTCTGTTTCTTTCTTCCTGTTCATTCCATGCCCACTTCGAGGTTCTTCCCCACCAATCCCACAGCCAAACACTGCGTTTACTTCTTCAGGCCACACGTCTCACCTGCCCTTGCTCACAACCTACGGGAGCTACTTATTCAGTGGAGTCAAGTCCACTGAGACCGGCAATCAGGCCTCTACATGGTCTGCTCTCAACCTGTGACCTGGCCTCGTTCCCTGCCCGCACCCTTAGCCCCAGCCCCACTCTAACGCCCAAAGGTACCACGTGTCCTGAGCTGCGATTCCCTCACTTCCATCCTCTGCTCACTCACTCCACCTGCTTGGCCTCCTTCTCCCATGCCAACTTCACTTCCGAAACGCTCCGCTCCCCTGGTGAGCTAGCTCAATGCAAACCTGCTCACCCTCAATGTTTAAGGCCTGATCATGACACGGAGGCTCAAATATTAGTGCTGAGAACTGCCTGGCACTTAGCACTATTTGGTAAACGTCAGTTTTCCTTATTTATTCAACAAATCATTCTCCTTCAAGGACAAGGAAAACTGCCTCCTCCTTCATGGCATTTTAGCGTCCCCTTCACACAGCATCACCAGATACGTCTGGTCCTCAGACCTCTGCCTACTCATCCCGCCCCGTTCCGGTGCGCTGAGACCTAAGGAGGGCCGGGAGGAGGGGCCATGGGACGCCAGCCCACGTCGTGCCCAGTACAGTCACAGCGGGACTGACTCCTAACAGAACACAAATGTCCAGGCGAGCAGCACTGCTCCTCTCCCCTCTGCGGCCTTTCCCACGTGCAGTTCCAGCTCCAGTTCCAGCTGGGTTTCCTAGCACCGTGGACACGCTGTTTAGCACAACTGGAGCTCACAGTCCCGGTTCTAGTTCCTCATCTTCCATCTAACATTTCACAGCAGCAGGCTCGGGAGTCCCTCAGCGATGGCACTGCGAATACCACTGAGTCTCTGCTCTCAGCCCTCACGCAGCACCCGTGGCTGACCGGTCACAGCAAGCACCAGGGAACACGCAGCATCGGTTGAAGACTTTCATCCAAAGGCATCAAGATCAAAAGCTTCCGTGTTACACGTTGGGAACCTGATCTGTTTTCCGAGTCCCGCCTTTTACACAGTTTGTCCCAGGCACTGCTGTCCCAGGACACGTGCATGCATGTGTGCAGTGCGCCAGCCCTGGGGCTCCTCGCATCTCGGGTGGATGTATGTGATCATTCCTGACTAGATCACCTTTGATACGGTTATCTTCCCCCTGCTCACTTTCTCTGCATTCACTCTGCTCTTCCCACCTCTTTCCTTTTGCTCAAACTGCCTACACCCTTCTTTCTGTTTCTTTCTCTCTGCCTCTGAGAAGACAGCATAACAAGCTCTTGATTTGCCACAGGAAAAGCAGAGGTGAGCCAGGTTCCTGAACAGGATGGCCTCAGGGTCAAGGCCTAGCCAGGGGCAGGTCCAGGGCTAAGGTCCTGCATGACCTGAGGCCAAGCACAGAGGTAGGACACAGTCAGGATGAGATGCAGGAGGGAGAGCTAAGCTCTAGAAGATACGGTGCCCACTGCATAGGTACACAGAGGTGTGCTGTACTAGCAACTTTATAGTCTATGACACAACATCGCCAAGACCTTCCCTGAGGCTTATGTAAAGAAAAGCACTCAGGACTGATGGGAACAGAAACTGGTCTACACACAGGGGATCTGAGTGTGCTCACCAGCCCGTGTGTGTGTGTGTGTGTGTGTGTGTGTGTGTGTGTGTGAGAGAGGCCGGCAGTGGCTAGGACGCATGACCTGCGTGTGGCACAGAGAAAATGCACAGGGCTTCTCAGGTTTCATGTCCCCTAACCCTTGGATTATAGTCTAACTAGGCCAGGGTGGCCCGAGGATATGCAGCTCTTTCTGGCTCTGAGCCTAGAAGGTTCCCACACTCCCCACAGCATCTGACCAAGAGGGCAGATGTCTTGTGACCCAAGTATTCTCAAAGTGGGTAAATCCCGAGATAATGGCAGCCCTGCTCTAGGGAAAGAGGTTTACAGTAAAATATATGTGCACATAGATATGTAAGAGAACCACAGGCAATCCTTCATCATAAACGACTCTGGTCAACCTGAGTGACGAACGTAAGGCGTGCTCACCATCCTTCCAGAGCTCGGCCACAAATCTGTCCGAGGACTGGTGCAGCAGCGTGGCCACGTTGTCGTTCAGGGGGTCCATGTTCTTCATCAGCCACTCGTCCGCCTTGTAGTCCACCTGGCCCGCCCGGAGCCGAACGAGGTGAGACGGAAAAACAAACAAAACCCAGAAACAGTTAGCCTTACCCACAGACGTTCACAGAGCAACCTAAGAAGAGGATTGTCTTAAAGGCCATCAATTGCAATGCACACTATATTTAGGAATTTACAAATGTTTATCGGCACATTTTTTATAAACTCCATCACATGTAGCAAAGTTGCAAACAGTACTTTTACCAGGTAATCCAGTTCTCCAGCTCTTACCTTCCCTGCGTAGTGTATGATGCAAAAGTCAGCTTTGTCTTTCAGCTGCCGGGGTTTCTGGAACTTGGAGTGGGAACCTTGCTCTTGAACTAGTTTTTCAACAAAGGTTTTATCTGTGGCTTTCGGGAACCAGCACTCCTCATCCAAAAGGGCAAGCACACCGGGAGGGTTGGCCTGATAACGAGAGGCAACGAGAATGGTGAGTTTGCATGTAATCCCATCGGGTCTGATCCAGACCACAGACACCAACTGCTGGGATAGGAGGCCATGTCCAGGCCAACCCTAGGCCCCAAGCACCCGGGTCTCTGAGTGCTAAGTAAGTACAGGGGAGACAGCGGGTGAGTCACTTTCTCATAAACACACACGTGTAAACTGTAGGTAAATGAATTCCAAGCAGATAGTCCCCCAAACGCAGCAAATAAAAGACACCACAAAGGAGCGAGGAGGTGGAGAGATGAACCTGAATGTTCATAGTCAATGACTGGATGGATAAGTTATTCAAAACCCCCACTAGGTGGAATGCTTCAGATGTTTTATATCCTAATCCATTTTTCTGGTTAAGTAACGATTAAATAAAATAAATGTACTGCTTCACACTTGGTGAAATGTTTTAAACTATTATTAAGTAGAGTAGATGGAAGGTGATGAAATAATTTATCAGTTACTTTATATATTTGTTTCAACAAACACTTGAGAGCCTATTTTATTTCACACAACTAATTCCCTGAAAAAAGATAGAAACATAAAGTAGGTTAGTGTGGCCAGGGACTGGGGGAGGGGAGCAGGGAGCACCTGCTAACGGGAGGGAGTTTCTTTCAGGGATTATGAACATGTGGAATCAGACAATGGTAATGGTACACAACTTTGTGAATATACTGAAACCCACCAAACTGTATACTTTATTATGATTATTTATTTATTTAATTGTTTAAGGTATTACAAATAGTTAAGGTATTACAAATAGTAGTACATATGTCTCTTTCCCCCACCTTTCATCTCCCCCCGGCGTCCCCTACCGCCCAGCACTTGCCCTTGTCCCCTCATTCCCTCCCCCGCAGTGTCTTGTGTCTGTTGGTTGTGCTTATATGCGTGCCTACAAGTCCTTTGGTTGATCTCTTACCCACCCCCCAACCCTCCCTACCTTCCCGCTGTAGTTTGACAGTCTGTTCGATGCTTCTTTGCCTCTGTCTATTTTTGTTCAATAGTTTGTAATGTTCTCTATTATCCATAAATGGGTGTAAAGAATTGTATACTTTAAAAGAGTGAGTTTTAGGGTCTGTGCCTACAGCTTGCCATTCTCTGGGAGCTCAAAATTCAGTGGCCTGACTTCTTTCTTGGAGGAAGGTGGGGTTCTCGGTGGTCTATTTTATAGCTTCTGCATCAGCATTCATTGCCACTCTGCAAATACAGCAACTTGTGATACAAGACTGAATGCCTCAATTCCAGGGCCTATCAGTTTCCTGAATAAATCTCTAGGATCAGTTTTCTTCAACTCACAAGGCCTTTCTATTTACTCGGGAAGAGAAGGCTGTGTACAAATATTGCTTAAAGAGTAACTAGTGGGGGGGCCGGGCCGCCCCTCCCAG